CTGTGCGGGGTGTGTGTGTGTGTGTGTGTGTGTGTGTGTGTGTGTGTGTGTGTGTGTGTGTGTGTGTGTGTGCAGGCAGTGGATCTCAGTAAGCCCATAGACAAGCGCATCTATAAAGGAACTCAGCCTACCTGTCATGACTTTAATCAGTATTCGGCCACGGCTGACAGCGTGGCTCTGATCGTGGGATTCTCCGCTGGACAGGTGCAGTACCTCGACCCCATCAAGAAGGAGACCAGCAAGCTCTTCAACGAGGAGGTGAGCAGATGAGCGTGACTCCTCATCATCTGTCAAGCACATTAACACCTGATGAAAGCATCATCGTATCAGATGAACTGGATCACCGGAGACTGCTGTTAATAGCAGGTGTAAACAGTGTCCTGTCGCCTGCTGTTTACTGTCCTGAATACACCATAGTACCACATCCTAGTTTTCATGATGAATCATGTTTTTCATAAAGAATATGCTGAACAATTCAACATTTTAAGTATTTTGTGGACAGCAGCACAATCCTGTCAAAGATGATGATGTTCTGAATCTCAAACCGTGACTGGAGATCTGTCAGATCTGTGTGCGATAATTAAGATGCTCCTTCATGTTTCTAAACCAGTAATATGAAAACAGGAACCCTCTTTAGATGATCTTCCTCAAACAGCCGCAAACATTTAGTAATTTCCTCGTGGCAGTTTGAATTTGTCAATCTAATGGAAAGCAGGACCCCTTAAAACGAAGAGCTCTTACTCCGGATCTCTCTTTTTATTACGTGACCTTGTTTTACAGCAATACAAAGTAAAGTTGATCTGTGTTTGAACTGAACAGGTAACTTTACTGAAGAATAATGTGGCTCTTATTGGATCTTCATGTTTAGCAGACAAAACTCTTATGGTGAAAAAAAGGCACGTAAAACTCTCTTTATTAACAGACTCTCCAGTTCAGCATGTGATTCGTATTTCAGACCAATAATAATATTTTACCCACAGAATGATGCCTATTTTAGGACAATTACGATTTTACACAAGACATAATGAAGGTGAAATGTGTAAAGGGACATTTATTTTGATTTTGAGGTGCAGTGTGATTTAACAAAGTTTAGGGTTGGTAGGATTTTTAATATTTTTTAAAGAAGCTCACCAAGGCTGAAATATTATTACAATTTAAAACAGCTGTTTCTATGTGAATATCTGTTAAACTGTAATTTATTTCTGTGATCAAAGCTGTATTTTCAGCATCATTACTCCAGTCTTCAGTGTCACATGATCTTCAGAAATCAGTATAATATGCTGATTTGCTGCTCAAGAAACATTTCTGATTATTATCAATGTTGAAAACATTATCAATCTATTACTGATCAAATAATTGAAGCCCTAAGACTGGCAAGAGAGGATTCCAAATCTTCAATACTTATCTTGCTGGATCTGTCCGCTGCTTTTCACACAGTTAACCACCAGATCCTCCTGTCAACCCTATTGACAAAGGGCATCTCAGGAACCGCACGCCAGTGGTTTGAGTCTTACCTCTAGGCACAAAATCACTTTCACAGACTTTTACATTAACTGTTCCCTCCTGGTGGAATGACCTGCCCAACTCAATCCCAGCAGCTGAGTCCTTAACCATCTTCAAGAATCGACTAAAAACACATCTCTTCCATCTTTATTTGACCCTCTAACTCTAGCACTCTCTATTCTAATTCTATTCTCTATAAAAAATAAAAAAAAACTTTTAGACTTGCATTCTATTCATTTACTAACTGCTTGTTTTCTTTAAAAAAAAACTAACACTAGCTTCTCTAATCTTTTTGTATTCTATCTATTTGTTTTCTTTTTATTTATTATACAATTAACAAAAGCAAAAAAGGCCTCTAACACTAGCTTGCTCTATTCTTTTTCTATTCTATGTTTTCTTTTTATTTATTATATGATTAAAAAAAACCTTGCTACATGTACTGCGTTAAGCTAACTGAGACTTGTTATAGCACTTTGTTCATTTTGATTGCTTCCATTGTCCTCATTTGTAAGTCGCTTTGGTTAAAAGCATCTGCTAAATATGTAAATGTAAAACAGTTTTGCCGCACAATATTTCTGTGGAAACTGATTTTTCAGGATTCACAGATTAATAGAAAGTTCAAAAGTAGAGCGTTTATTTGAAACCGAAATCTTTTGTAACATTTTAAATGTCACTTTTGATCAGTTCTTATGCTGATATAGTGTAATATCTTCTCTCCCCAGAGGCTGATAGACAAATCAAAGGTGACGTGTCTCAAATGGCTGCCCAAGTCAGAGAATCTCTTCCTGGCGTCTCACGCCAGCGGTCACCTCTACCTCTATAACGTGGAGCACCCATGCGGCACCACCGCGCCTCAGTACTGTCTGCTCCGGCAGGGCGAGGGCTTCGCCGTCTACGCCTGCAAGACCAAGACGCCCCGTAACCCGCTGCTCCGCTGGGTGGTCGGTGATGGAGGGCTGAACGAGTTTGCCTTCTCGCCCGATGGCCTTCACGTGGCCTGCGTCGGTCAAGACGGCTGCCTGCGCGTCTTCCACTTCGACTCGATGGAGCTGCAAGGCGTGATGAAGAGCTACTTCGGCGGGCTTCTCTGCGTCTCCTGGAGCCCCGACGGGAAGTACCTCGCCACCGGCGGAGAGGATGATTTGGTGACCGTCTGGTCGTTCGCCGAGAGTCGCGTGGTGGCGCGCGGACACGGCCACAAGTCGTGGGTCAACGTTGTTGCTTTCGACCCGTTCACGACGAACCTGGAGGACGAGGAGCCGATGGAGCTCAGCGGCAGTGAGGAGGATCTCCAGCAGGGGGCGCTGCACTTCGGCCGCGTGCGAACCAGCAGCACGCTCTCGCGCCTCTCGCGGCACAGCTCCAAAGGCGGCGCGTCGTCCGTGACGTACCGCTTCGGATCCGTCGGCCAGGACACGCAGTTCTGTTTGTGGGATCTGACGGACGACGTTCTGTATCCACGGCTTCCGCTCTCCCGCGCGCTTACGAACACCTTCGGCCCTACGATTCCAAGCAGCACGGCGTTGAGCGGAAGTAGTGGAGTCGAAGGTCACCATCATCCCTCCAACCCTCATCAGACATCAACATTGCCGCTGCCTTTACCTCGCTCGCTGTCGCGCTCCAACTCCCTCCCGCACCCCGCCGTCGCCAACACCTCCAAGAGCCAGGGGGCGACGGAGAGCAGCGGCACAGGCGAGAGCGCTGGCACAGGCGGAGGAAGCACGCCGTTTAGCATCGGCCGCTTCGCCACGCTGTCGTTACAAGAGCGCAAATCGGACAAATCCGGGGTGGGAGGGGAAAAGGAGCACAAGCGCTACCACAGCCTCGGGAACATCAGCAAAAGCAACGATAAGATCAACGTAGCGCCGCGCAGCACCCGGCTAGATGGCGCTAAAGTGCTGGGAACCACGCTGTGTCCTCGCATGAACGAGGTGCCGCTGCTGGAGCCGCTGGTGTGCAAGAAAATCGCCCACGAGCGGCTCACCGTGCTCGTCTTCATGAACGACTGCATCATCACGGCGTGTCAGGAAGGACTCATCTGCACTTGGTCCAGACCCGGGAAAACGGTGAGTCGATATGAAAACATCAAGCACATACAGCTCAACTTTTCAGTGGTCTCAATTACAGAAGTGTTCTTCCCATCTAGATTTTTAAAAAGTCTTTGTTATAAGAGTTATAAGTCATGGGCCAAGCCAACAAGCTACACTGAACACTGTTTTAAACGTTTTAAAAAATTTAATTGGTGTAGGATTTACTTTTAAACTATTTTCACTCAGAAATTGCAAGTAAATTTTGCAAGTAATTACAAAGAAACAGCAAGTAACACATTGAATTAAATGTGAAATTTTGAAGTAGAAAGACTGAAATAGTATTTTCTTGATTTTTTTACAATGTGCGAGGAGAATCACAACATTAAAAACTTTGATTTGAAGCAAAAAAGTGTTTGAAAATTGGACAAAAAGACAAAGGTGCAAGATTGAACTGAACAGGTAATAAATTTTAAAACAATGGAGAAAATGGAGATGTAGAAAGACAACGTATTTTATAGTAAAAATCTTCATTTACAAATTTTTTTTTTTTTAATCAAAACATTACACAATTTGATTTGAAGCAAAAAAGTGTTTAAAAAAATCGGGGAAAAAGACAGATACTAGACTGTGAAATGAACAGGTTTAATTGAATACTTTTTAACAGCCAATGAAATAATCAAATTAAAAACAATGGAGGAATATAAATTCAATATGCATCTTTAAATCTATTAATTATGTATGTACATAGAAACAATATATTTTCCATTTATTGCAAAATATTTAAGTAGTTTGAGAGTGCTGCAGTGTTCTTTTGGTGATTTCTCTGCACAATCATGGGTGATGTAGGTTTTCACCAGGAGTTCTGCTTTTAAATATGATTATTAAAAAAAATAATTTAAGCATAAACCATCGATTACATCACAGTAGGTCTGTCTTTAAAGGTTTATAATTTAGCATTAAAAATCAATTCTTATATGGAGAAAATAAATGGGAACTCACTGTTGCGCTGTATTGCAAATAACCAGTAACTTTATTTGCATTTTAATATAAAAAAAATAATAATAAATTATATATATATATAATATTATTTTCAGATGTAGCAAATATGTTGGATGTTGCCAAAAGTCACTTCATCACTGCTCACAGTTTAACGTTTTTTCTTGTCTGTGTTTCCACTAGCACCCGTCTCAGCCGCTGTCAGCACAGAACGGAAACTCTCCAAGCGGGACGGTGGTATAGCCGAAGCCTCATTCCCAGAGCTGATTCCCGTGTCTGCATCCGGAGCCGGTCCATCACAGCGTCACCATTCACCCGTCCACTGTATTCCCACCAAACCACACGCTTGAGTTGCACACGAACGTAAACACACCCCGGGACCATGCTGCACTGCTGCAACTCTCTCCTGCAGACAGACTGCGAGACTCTTCCGTGCAGAAACCCTGCTGGCCTCTTCTCCGGCCGCATTCACTGCAAACGCCACGGCCATTTTATTTCCTATTTATTTGATCATCGAGACTTCTATTGTACATATTCAGACTACTCTATAACGGCAGAAGACATGTATTGAAATAATGAACTCAAATAATTAATATATGAAGATCCTATATTGTACATAGTGACAGATGCATTGAATGTGGATTGACGAGTTCTTGTTCTAGTGTGCTAGTGCTTCATAAGTGGCGATCTGGCTGAGAAAGTGCATCCTTTGCTTTGGCATCGGGCCTGAACTGAGAGTTACGTGCATTTGTTCAACCGCTAGACTCGAGTTTTCAGCTTCATTGATTGCAGATGCTACTAGAGAGGTGAGGTTAGTGTCGTCTAGAAATGGTGTAAAATGGTAGGCAGGGTATATGAACCGTGAAAGTGCGATTTTATATATTTACTAAGTTTTTGCTAAGCAAACAACGTCACCGCTGAATGAAAACGGACGTTTGTGACATGACTGTTTAGAGCTAGTCCAAACTAGAAGCGGATCTCTTAAAATTTGCCTTGTTGAAACCAAGTCTATGGAAGCCTGTTTCCGGGTACAGAATTAAAAAAAAAAAAAAAAAAAGGTTATTGCAACTTTTTTTCTCGCAATTCTGAGAAAAATGCAATATATAAACAAAACAAAAAAAAAAAACAATTGTAACATATAAACAACAATTCTGTGGTGGAAACAAAAAACAAAATTGCATAATTATGAGAAAAAAAGTCAGAATTGTGAGATATAAACTCAGAATTCCAAAAAAAGTAAAAGTTAGAAGATATAAACTAAGAATTCTGGAAAAAAGTTAAAATTGCGAGATATAAACTCAGAATTCCAAAAAAAGTAAAAGTTACGAGATATAAACTAAGAATTCCGAAAAAAAGTTAAAATTGCGAGATATAAACTCAGAATTCCAAAAAGAGTTAAAGTTACGAGATATAAACTAAGAATTCCGAGAAAAAAAAAAAAGTTAAAATTGCGTGATATAAACTCAGAATTCCGAAAAAAAAGTTAAAATTGCGAGATATAAACTAAGAATTCCGAAAAAAAGTTAAAATTGCGAGATATAAACTCAGAATTCCGAGAAGAAAAAAAAAAAGTTAAAATTGCGTGATATAAACTCAGAATTCCGAAAAAAAAGTTAAAATTGCGAGATATAAACTAAGAATTCCGAAAAAAAGTTAAAATTGCGAGATATAAACTCAGAATTCCGAGAAGAAAAAAAAAAAGTTAAAATTGCGTGATATAAACTCAGAATTCCGAAAAAAAAGTTAAAATTGCGAGATATAAACTAAGAATTCCGAAAAAAAGTTAAAATTGCGAGATATAAACTCAGAATTCCGAGAAGAAAAAAAAAAAGTTAAAATTGCGTGATATAAACTCAGAATTCCGAAAAAAAAAAGTTACAATTGCGAGATATAAACTCAGAATTCCCTAAAAAGTCTAAATTGCGAGAGATAAACCAAGAATTCCGGAAAAAAAGTTACAATTGCAAGATATAAACTAAGAATTCCGAGAAAAAAATAAAAAAAAAGTTACAATTGCGAGATATAAGCTCAGAACTCCCAAAAAAGTCAAAGTTGCGAGATATAAACTAAGAATTCTTGAAAAAAAGTAAAAATTGCAAGATATAAACTCAGAATTCCAAAAAAAGGTCAAAGTTACGATATATAAATTCAGAATTTTTAAAAAAAGTTAAAATTGCAAGATATAAACTAAGAATTCCGGAAAAAAAGTTACAATTGCGAGATATAAAATCAGAATTCCGAAAAAAAGTCAAAATTGCTACAAGTCAAAATGACAAAAAAGTCAATTCTTAGAAAAAAAAAGTCACAATTACCTTTTTTTAATCTTTTTTTATTCCGTGACGGAAATGAGCTTCCATACAAGTCGGATGTAATGGAAGGGAGAAACTTCTCTGTCATTTAAGCAGCACATTTTACTATTGTAGCACGGAGTAGGCGCTATTCCTTACACCTGCTATGCCTCTTGCAAAATTTTGCACATTTACAGGTTGATTTTAGATCACTGGAGGGACCATTTTCAAGAAGTCGGGATAACCGAGAGCCAATGTGAAGTGTGTTTTTAAGGTTTTGTCATGCAGACTTCTCAAAAGGACAATGTCATATAATTTCTAGTGATGTCTGTCAATCAGTTAGATTCTTGCCATTAAGCAAATCAGTGCAAACCTGCATTAACAAACATTTCTGACTGCTCCTGTAGAGAAGAAAACAAAATCAATGGATATCACATATACCGTCAGTCATTACAGTTCAAATTGTCACCAAAACCAGTTTCTCAAGCAAGTTCTGCAATGTTTTGAGTTTCTTTGGTGATCCTGACAGTGAACTTGCACCTTAAGGATGGATTATTTTCTCGCAAGCTCCTATTTAACGCATCTAAATACTCAAACCAACTGGGACAGCATTAAAATTGTTGGAGAAGTTTGTGGCGAGCCATATTTGAGGACACTGAGTCTTTCTAGAAGTCTGCGAGGAGGAATAACACTACACAAACTGGTCTTTTAGGTGATTGTACTGGTTTAAATGTGGTTTGGCTGCTTTAGTGATCCCGGCATGGACGTTTCTTCTCCGAGAGGCAGATCTTTGCTTGTATTTTAGACAAAGGCCAAGCTAATGAACTCATATATGATCATTCCCACCGAATTACAGAACACTACTTGATAAAAACAGTGTTTTAGCCCTGACGGTATGTATGCTTAACACTTAGTTCTCATTTTTTATGCCTTTTTGTAGCTTTAAGTGTTTTTTTAAATCTCAGATATTTTGGGATTTATGTTTTGTACGGCTGTAGCATTGTGATTGTGTTTTGCTGTTAACTGGAGAAATGCAAACGGACCAATTAGTGGATGTTGGAACATTTTGTGTATTTTTATTGTGCGCTTTTTAAACTACTGCTTAAACAATGCTGTCCATTAGGTTCATCTTTTCTCTTTTTTTGCAAATGCATTCAGTTCTGAAGGATCTTTTGTTTTTTGTGAATCCTAACAGATGATGGCATCCAAGAGCGTCCTGCATCATCGACGTATGAAAGTGGATGATTTCGGTGTAACTTCCATTCCTCCACACTGCTTTTCTTTAAAATCGATTCTCTTCCACTGCATGTGTTTTCATTTAGCTGGTGATGTGGCCAACAATATCACAATATCCAGTTTGTATATGGGAATCTGTTATTAAAACATCAAATACTCATGCATCGCATTGTTATTTGCAATCACATACTGTATATCAGCTAACAAATTTAAAGGAAAGGTTCACCCAAAAATGAAAATGATCTGAAAATGTGCTCACTCTCAGGCCGTCTGAGTTTGTTTCTTCATCAGATTTGGAGAAATGTAGCATTGCATCACTTGCTGGATCCTCTGCAGTGAATGGGGGAAGATTGAGGGGTCGTCTGTTGAACGTTTTCAGCTATTGCATGGTTCCTTCAACACGCAGAAGATATCGCAACACGTCAGTAGTATGTAGTAACTGCTGAAGTATAAAAACCTTTGTCTTCGGTGAATACAGCAGTGTGGAGTTGTATTTGTAAAGCTGTTCTATCTGCCTCTGGTAAGACTACATTTGAGCACAGTATAGGCAAGACAAAAGTCATTTGATTGTGTTTTAGAGTTGGTTCTTTCACAGATTATCATGACGACTCACCAACCAGAACATCAGGTGAGTTTGAGAAATTAAATTCAGTGTTTATTCTAGATTCACCCTTGATTTACACACTTCTGAATGTCCTCCAGAGGCACAGGAACAGATCCCTGCAGGACACGGGTAACGGGAAGCTTGAGTATGGAGCTGATGATGAGGGCAAATGTGTGGTACAAGTCCACAGTAGATGGAACAACATCCGTAAGTACTCTAGTTTGGTCTAGAGACCAACTATTAAAATCAGTTTACATGATATCACTAGATCTTTTAGTGGAAAATGACACCAACCAATCTGATTCATAAATTGTGTCTTTAAGGCAAGGCACTACAGGCAAAACCTGTTTACTTGGTTACACTTTATCTATTTGTGTCTGTAGATTTCCATTACAGTACATACATTTAGAGTTTTTTCTCCACTTCTGCAGCACTTACATACACCAAAACTTAGAGTTTTATTCCTGTCTATATTCTGAAGGTTTTTACTGAAGGGTTTGTTCATATATTGTTCACACTGATATATACAACATTTTATTCCTAAAAACATGGTGAAAATGCATATTTTTAAAGGCGGTGAGTTTTTTCTCCACTTCTGCAGCACTTACATACACCAAAACTTAGAGATTTATTCCTATCTATATACTGAAGGGTTTTACTGAAGGGTTTGTTCATATATTGTTCACACTGATTTATACTAACTTTTTATTTCTAAAAACGTGAAAATTTATTTTTTTCCTGACAGTATTTTCTGATTTATGCAGTGATGAAAAGAGAAATCCAAAAATCCCACAGTAAAAACCTTTAACTCTAATATATCAACAAAACCAAACAAGAATTTTGAACCTGACTTTACCCATTTCTGTTCTGTAAATGTATGCAGATTAGTGAATATTTAATTAGACAGTGTCTCATTTGCATATTTAAACATTTCAGAAAACTTTCAGAAATTATATCTTTATTCATTCTGATTAATCAACTGAGGAAGTATGCTGATATCTTATTAGTTAATATTTTTCCATATTTGCCTGTACTGTCTTGCCTTAATAGTTTTAGTGCAATGTCAAGAATTTTAAAATAAGCCTCAGTATGATGTGATTCAGGCTGTTGATTGTGTGTGTGTGTGTGTGTGTGTGTGTCTCTGTCTTGTGTGTGTCTCTGTCTGTGTGTGTGTGTGTGTGTATCAGACCTGTCTCTGGTGTGTGTTTTGTTGGGCATCTCTCTCATAATGATGCTGGATGGCTGCCGGTCCTCCTCTGGGTCGTGGGTTCTGCTGGGTTCTGCTGGAACCCTGATCTGGGACTGGACGTCTGTGTGTGTGGTGCTGTTATTCACTGTCCTGCAGGTGGCGCTCTATTATCTACCTGTGGGACAGGTGACAGAAGGCAAGATGGGCTGCGATGGAAAGCGTTTGAAATACAAACTCAATGGTAAGAGAAAATCCCACCTTCAGACCTCAAGCCTTTAATCAAATCAATATGGCAAGCAGAATGGGAAGAATCTCAAAATAACAAATTATTTGAAAGGAATTCTGTGGTGGGAAAAAATATGCATCTACCCTTGTAATTCCAGACATGATCAAATTGTGTATTCAAGGTATTGTAGAGGCCATAGTAGAAGAAATCATGAGGTTTTTTTTTACCTCTTTATTGGCATCAGTGGTTTCATGACACAACTTTAACATTCATGGAAACTTTCCAGTTCACAAAAGGTTCTTTATAGTGGAAAATGGTTCTTTGGATTATTAAAATGTGACCCTGGAGCACAAAAGCAGTCTTAAGTCGCTGGGGTATATTTGTAGCAATAGCCAACAATACATTGTATGGGTCAAAATTATAGATTTTTCTTTTATCCCAAAAATCATTAGGATATTAAGTAAAGATCCATGAAGATATTTTGTAAATCTCCTACCGTAAATATATCAAAACTTAATTTTTGATTAGTAATATGCATTGCTAAGAACTTCATTTGAACAACTTTAAAGATGATTTTCTCAATATTTAGATTTTGTTGCACCCTCAGATTCCAGATTTTCAAATATTGTCCTATCCTAACAAACCATACATCAATGGAAAGATTATTTATTCAGCTTTCAGATGATGCATACATCTCAATTTCTAAAAATTGACACTTAAGACTGGTTTTGTGCTCCAGGGTCACAAATGTTCTTCACACTAAGAAAAAATGGTTCTTTTCAGAGCTGTACACTGAAAGGTTCTTTGGGGAACCCAGAATGGTTCTTCTATGACATCACTGCAAAAACCTCCTTGTAGACCCTTTATTTTTAAGAGTGAGTGGTGAAGAACCACCAAAATGTCCAGTGTAGCACTACCTTGTCTGTAAAACATGTGTTTGGTCTCCAATTCTTAACGGCACGAGACAACAAGTTTTGAAGGACTTGTAAGACAAACCTAAGAAGACTTTTACTATTTTTATCACAAGTGCATTTAAAGAATCTTTTATAGAATTGTATATATGCCAAATATACGCATTCCAAATTTTCAATGTCATGAGACAGCTATTTTTATTAGAATAAACTTTAAGGAATTATTTTGTAAGATGGACCAAGTAACACTTTTTCAACAAAATTTTTGAGTCTTTTTTTTCCCCAAGTAGAATTTTATAAATGTTTTGTATTTATTGTACTTTTTTGTATTAAAAAGTGTTTATTGTATTGTTTGTTTAATGTCGAATCTGTATCTGCCATATAATAAGTAATGAAGCTGATATGGCAACAGATTTAAATATATCTAACTAAGCAACAATAAGAGATTGGGCACAAATATCAAGACAATAACCTTTTCATCATGTTTTCTTTCAGGATTTTTTTGTTTGATCCGAGACATCACTGAATCAACGATGAACTGACTTTAACTGAGTGTTTACTATTGTCCTCCTGCATTGGGAAGTCGTGGCCTAATGGTTAGAGAGTTGGACTCGTAACCCAAAGGTTGTGGGTTCGAGTCTCGTACCGGCAGGGATTGTAGGTGGGGGGAGTGAATGTACAGCGCTCTCTCCCACCTTCAATACCACGACTGAGGTGTCCTTGAGCAAGGCACCGAACCCCCAGCTGCTCCCGGGCGCCGCAGCATAAATGGTTGCCCACTGCTCCGGGTGTGTGTTCACGGTGTGTGTGTGTGTTCACTGCTGTGTGTGTGCACTTTGGATGGGTTAAATGCAGAGCACTAATTCCGAGTATGGGTCACCGTACTTGGCCACATGTCACGTCACTTTCACTTTTTCACTTTCACTTTCACTTTCATTATCGACACACTATTATCCTGTTTGACTCTGTAAAGCTGCTTTGACACAATCTGTATCGTATAAAGCGCTATATGAATAAAGGTGACTTGACTCATTTTGTAAGATGGACTCACGGAGTTGTATGACAGAATTGTTTAGCCTTTTTTATAAAACGGATAGTTCCGGTGCTTGATTCTGATTGGCTGAGCCGCGTTCGAAGCTGTTGTAAATGACTCTACAAAGTAACATACACCTTTGTTTACGTTTGTGTGTTGCTCGGCAACCACTTTGTAGCAACCACAACTGTTTCTGAGGAGCTACATTGTTTGGTGGAAGAATACTGTTTTTATTAATATCATTACACTTTATTTGCTCTGTTTTATTTTGTGAAACCTTACTACGTATATGGAATAACCGTTTTATAAAATCAATAAGCCCCGTGAAGCCGTGGTTTACAGTGAATTTATAACAGCTAAGGGGTTTAACTCCGCTTCGCGTCGTGCCTAACAACAGCTGTTATAAATTCACTGTAAACCACGGCTTCACAATGGCAATGTTTGCATTTATGGTTGAATATTGAGTGTGTATCTAGCCTATGAAGTTGATGTGGCAATACATTTAAATGCAATCAACCAACGGTAAGAGACTGGGCACAGATATTAAGACAGTAGCCCGTTCTAGATGTGTTCTTTCAGGGTTTTTGTGTTCGCTGTGAGTTCTGGGTTGATCTGAGATGAGTTCTGTTAAAGTGCTGATGGCGACACGAGCATCTTCTTTGCAGGTCTGCATGCGTTTCTCCTGACTGTGGTTCTGATGCTGGTTCTGTGGTTCGCTGGTGTTCTGCAGGCCGGTGCTGGGACGGTCAGGATCTTCTCTCTGGTGAGCGCAGCCATGGCCGTCTCTCTGATCTTCAGCCTCGCGCTGTTCCTGTGTCCAATCAGAACACCGTCCTCCGCACATGTGACCTACAACACGGGTATGACCCCTCAATTCCTCCCTGTCTATCCACAGCGCCTGAGGTCAGAGGTCATGTGTGTGTTTGTGTTGCACAGCAAAGCCCCTGCTGAAGTTTGTTCTGGGTCACAATATGGATCCTCGTCTGGGCCTCATCGACGTCAAGCACTTCGTGATGGTCAGGGTTGGGTTTATCGGCTGGGTGAGTCTGAGGAAATCATGATTTTGCGTTGGTCAAATGAACGCTCACTGATGTCTGTGTCGGTCCTGCAGGCCGTGATGGATCTGAATTATCTCCTGACTGCTGTAGAGATGAAGAACTCGTCTCTCGCTCTGCTGCTCGTCATCGTCTTCCAGCTCATTTACATACTGGACTTCCTCATCGATGAGGTCCGCCGGACTAACTGGTTTTTATCAGTAGCAGTATTGTTTGTATTTCATGCGGTTTGTTATTCACTTAAACAGAACAGGTAATGAATTGTATTTCTGGTGTCTGATGTGTTTGGACAGGGCTCTGTGCTGACGACCAAAGAGTTCACAAACGAGCCGATTGGGTTCATCATGATTTTGGGCGAGTTTATCTGGATCCCTTTCTTCTCCAGTCTGCCTGCTTACTTCCTGCTTCAGAGACCCAATCACATCCACTTCCTGTCTGCCGTCCCCATCTGTCTGCTCTTCGGTGACCTCACATAATAGAATATAACGTTCATCTCATTAACTTGGTCTTGATTTCCAGTACAAATATCTAAGCTTTCTTAAATCAAGCTACAATTTTTACAAAAATGAACTAATTAAATATCACCATACCTACCCAGCTGATTAATAATAAATGTTATGTTTATATATGCACATGAGGTATTGTCTTTTGATCAGTTTCTCAGAAAGCAAGACTCGATATCTATGTTCGAGTAAATGATGTATTTCAAATGTTTAGTTCACATTCAAGTAGACGATGCAAATCTTTGTGATGCAGTGATTGTTATAATTCTCAGTGTTGTTTATTAACAGCTGCTGGCTTCCTGATGTATTACCTGTCTAACGAGCAGAAAGATGGTTTCCGCAGAAATCCCAGTGATCCGGCCTACGCTCGTATGTGACCTCTTCTCATCCTCATTCTGCTTGCTCTTATGTCTTCCGCTGTAAACACAGCAGGTCATAGATGCATGACAAGAAAGCACTGAACTTTGATTCGGCTTAAAGCTGAATGCAGGTCCATGCTGATGATCTCAGTCTCTCTCAAAGGTCTGAACACAATCCGCAGCCCGGCGGGAAGCAGTCTGCTGGTGTCTGGATGGTTCGGATGGGTCCGACACCCCAATTACTCAGGAGACATCCTGATGATGTTTGCCTGGTGTCTGCCATGCGGTACGGTTTAAAAGAGTAGAACGCATTCAGATCGGTTTTATGGTTTAGTGCCAGCAGTGCATGAGTAATTGAGCTGGTTTGTGTCATGCAGGGTTCACCAGTGTTTTGCCGTACTTGCCGGCGCTACAGTGCTTTCATTTATTGAGGCAACGAGCCAATGAGATCGAAGAATCCTGTCTGAAGAAGCACAGAGACGCCTGGCGGGAATACTGTCGACGAGTGCCATACAAACTGCTGCCTTACGTGTACTGAGCATCTCTCATCTGTGTGTGTTTACATGAACCGCCCCAAAGCAGAGCTCTCGTGTGGAGTTATTACTCCTAGCTGTGTGGATCCCATGACTTGAACTACTAGTACACAGCCAAAAGTCATTAAATTCATTAAATCTGATTTAACCCGTGACATTTAGTTTTGTTTGTAGAAATCATGTATTAAGGTTGATTCAGAGAGATTATATAATAAAATAAACCTTTTTTTTCCCCAGTGTAATGTCATTTAATTTTTAAAAAACAAGAACAACCTGATAGCGGATTGATTTATATTTACATTGGGTGTCAAAACATAATTATGTGCAATGTGCTTGTTAATGCTGTATTGCATATAAAACATGTGCTGCCGCGGTGTAATTATAGATGTAATTACAGAAATTAATTCTGAGGTGGTGTTACAAAGCAAAAACATTAATGTGCACAATGAGGGAGTTGTATTTAATTAGGCTATTTATAACTTAAAATTGTACAATTTGAACTACAAGTTTTAATTAATCATAAAGCTGTACTGCAAACAAACTATATTTGTATTGTTTTCAAATCTACATTTGGAAAATGTTTTGTTGTTTGATGAAAAACAAAACAGAAAAACTAAATGTATTTAATCATTTTTGTTGTGTTTACAGAATGTACAACTTGCAGTGTTTTTAACGGCAGGACCCACTTTTGTACCTTCTTCTTGCTGAACTACAGTAGTATTTTGAGACTATTTCCAATTAATAAGAAAGCTTTAAAAACACTTGAAATATTTTACTTTGAAGTGATTTATTTCGACTTTTCTCCTTTGTTTTAACAGCCACTTTCTATGTTTATAAGATGTTCTCAATAAAAAATAGCCTAAATATATACAAACTAGTCTTTGTCCTTTAGTAAAAGTGATTGAGCTTTTTATATTTGAAACATTTCCCAGTATAAAATGTAAATACGAACACTGTAATCTAACATAATTAGACATGTTGCACAATCAGTAGCATGTAAATATCACAGACTGCATAAAAACAGGCAAATATCCTGATGGATGGAAATGTATCGCCAAAGTAAACATTAAAGTAACGTTAAACATTCATATTAAAAAGGTGCATATCCATAAGTCTGAATTCTGACTGGCTTTTATAGTAGTACAAAGACAATAAAGACACGAGAATAGTGTGTTTAATGTAACAAGAGCTGCTTTGGTTTTAAACACAGGTTTTTGTACTGTGATCGAGTCAGAAAGCGCGGAGACGCGGGTTGCCAGGTTTTCACAACAAAACCCTCCCAATTGCTCAAAACTCGTCTTTTTGAGATGGGGATCCTCCGGTAAACAGCGTTTTTTTGGCGTTTTTCCTCTAGTAAAATTCGCATTCCAGTGGCTAAATATCACGTTATTGGGGACGCTTCAACAGTGTTAAAGAAGCCCACTTCCGCGTGAAAACCGCGGACTTGGCAACACTGTCGGTGGGTGACGGGACACTATCAGCAGGGTTGCCAAGTCTGCGGTTTTCGGGCTTCTTTAACACTCTTGCCGCGGGTAGTTTTTCATGTCCGCGGGACATTTAAACAGGATATTTAGCCACTGGAATGCAAATTTAACCGGAGGAACAACGCCAAAAAACGTGTATTTTATCCCCCGGAACGAGATTTTTGCTGGGGGAGGCCCCTCGAAACGCCATTGGTTTAGTTTTGAGCAATTGGGCGGGTTTTGTTGTGAAAACCTGGCAACCCTGACTATCAGCCATTTCACCTCAAACGCTCTTCAAGCAGCAAAAACCCGCCGCAGCGGAACAAAACCTCCCGAAACACCGGACAGGTGAGTCCGCGCCCGGTTACCGGTAACGGGAGCCGATGACATTCAGCTCGGTGATGAATATGAGTATCGTGCGCTGAAATCGCTATTAAAGCGTCTCGAGCTGCAATAACGCGCTTTTTTCCCGCTTCCCTTCGATGAAATAAACTCATTCTCGCGCTTTTGCTCGCAGTAGTTTTCTCAAACACTTGCTGAAAGTGTGCGCCACCGCTGTACGTCACTAAACGTGCTCGGTAGAGCGGTAACGCGTTAGAAACCGTGTGGCTCGCGCTTCGCACGATAAACTGCTGTTTTGTCTCTTCTCTCACATTTCGAGCAGCCATTATGTCATCAGCCCGAGGGGGCGGGGCTGGACGGGCACACTGAGCGCTGATTGGCGCGGCGTGAGTGAAGCCACGCCCCAACCGCTTGTAAATGGGCGGAGAATGTGTTGATTGACTGGCGTCACTGAAACCGTGGTGGTATAAAAATATTATTTCATGTTAAAATAACTACATTTACAACAGTTTAAATAATTACATTTGATTAAAAAAATCTAATTTAATTTAAATAAAAATCAAAATAATTGAAATAATTTGAAATAAATTGAATAAAATAAATAACATTTGATTTATTGGACTAATATTGAATGATATTAGTTTGAATAATCAATAATATATGACTAACTGAATAAACAAAAACATTTAAACTAAATTATTAAAATAAAAAACAAATACCTCTAACATAACAATACTATAGTGAGTAGAGAAAACACAATGTAACGCAAACAAATATGAACAATTATACCAAAAACAGAAATAGAATAATAATAACAATAGAAAATAATAGTTAAGTTTTATTAACTTTACACATGAAAATATTTAGAAGCTTTTTAAATTTTTAGGATGGGGCCCCTTATATAAGGATGATCATATTTGGGGTCCAAATAAGTGTGTAATATTGTGTGTGTTGTGTTTGAGGTGATTGTGTGTCAGAATGGCCCGTACGAAGCAGACCGCCCGTAAATCCACCGGAGGAAAAGCTCCTCGTAAGCAGCTGGCGACTAAAGCGGCTCGTAAGAGTGCGCCCTCTACTGGAGGAGTCAAGAAGCCCCATCGCTACAGGTACTGAGCCGCGAGTCGTGTTTGGTCTGGAGCCGCGGGACGAGCGCTGACGGCTCTGTGTGTGTCTGTAGGCCCGGGACCGTGGCTCTGCGTGAGATCCGCCGCTACCAGAAGTCCACCGAGCTGCTGATCCGCAAGCTTCCCTTCCAGCGTCTGGTGCGTGAGATCGCTCAGGACTTCAAGACCGACCTGCGCTTCCAGAGCGCCGCCATCGGAGCGCTGCAGGTCAGTCCTGCTCAGGGTTATTATAGTAAACCATTAAACTGCGTTTAGTTGATCAAAAATACTGTAAAATAGTGAAATATTATTAGAATGTAAAACAGCTGTTTTCTATGTGAATATCTGTTAAACTGTAATGTATTTCTGTGATGCGCAGCTGTATTTTCAGCATCATTACTCCAGTCTTCAGTGTCACATGATCTTCAGAAATCATTCTAATATGCTGATTTGCTGCTCGAGAAACATTTTTGATTATTATCAATGTTGAAAATGTGTCTCTGTCTGTGTGTCTGTGTGTGTGTGTGTGTGTGTCTGTGTCTG